TTATTATTTTTTATATAAAATTAAAAATAAATAAATTTAAAGATATAATTATATTAAATGTATACAAGATGCAGGATCTAACTCTACTTATATAGGAGAGGTAATCCTATAAGAAAAGATAACTTTTTTTTTATTTTTTAACCTATTTCACTACTAGAAAACCTAACTTCATCGACCCCAAATTACCGACGTAAGAATTTTTCTCGGTGAACAAATAACTTATCGACGAGAAACATGTCTGTAAAGCAAGAAACAGTTAAAATAGGAGTAATATATCTTATTTATGGTTCAAACAAAATCTTTGTCGGTAAATGAATAAAATACACACGTGTTCGTTGTCGGTGATATGATGCAACATTCAGTTCAGCGACCCACACGCCAAAACCCAAAATCTCATTTCTCATGCCGACCAAAACGAAGCAAAAGTTTGAACCCTTCAATCTCCACCCATACTTTATTAACTTAATTCCGATCACCATTCCTCATGTGATGGCCTCCCTCTCGCCATAGAGACAACAACCGACGTTGCTCCTCCTCTGCATCCCCTCATCATGACCGCCATGGACCTTACAGAACCAACCATTAATTGAAGCTTCCCTTCATGAACTCCAACCCCAATTCGTCTTCTTTGATACCTGCCACTGGTTACTAGAGTTATTACGAAAGCTTAGTATTAAGTTCGTACATTTTGCGTCCAGAAAGGAAGTTTTTGGAAAAGGGTTTGATGGCTGAGGATCTCACGCAGCTGCTAGATGGTTTTCCTTCTTCAACGATCAAGCGACATTCTAACGAAGCGCAAGTACTGGCTGCCATCAGTGTTGGTGGAGTTTCATTCATGAAGTGCCTATTCATATGCTATAAGGAATGCGATGCTATTGCTTTCAGAACATGTAAGGACATTGAAGGGCCTTATTGTGATTTATCGAGAACTAATTTAAATGGCCGATGATCCTTTGCGAACTGTCAATCCCAGAAAGAACATCTCTGGCATTGAACGAAAAATGGGAAACTTTATTGGGATTTTTACCTGCCATCCTTACCAATAAGCTGCACGTCGGTAAATTCAACTTTCCCACATGTATCTCGTCAGCAATTTCCACTTTCCAACATGATTTTAGTCGGTAAAATGGCATATATACCAACATGAAATTGGTCGGTGATTTGGGTGGATGGCCAAAATTTTTGGCTTTTTCATTCCCGCCTTCAAGTAAACTACCTATGTCATCTTTGTCGGTAAAACAAATGCCAACATGAAGTTGGTCAGTGATTTGGGCGGGATCGCCAAAATTTTTGGTTTTTTCATTCCCGCCTTTAGGTAAACTACCTATGTCATCTTTGTCAGTAAAATAAATACCGACAACATACACATAGGTAAATTGGTCTATATATACCTCACCCCAGCCCTCTGCCGGCTCATTTCTTCTTTCCTTCCTTCTTCAACTTCTTTGTTTTTCTTCTCCTCCCTTATCTGTGCCTTCTCTCTTTTCCGGTCAATGCTGCTAGATTAATTGTTTATGTTTTCTAATTACAGAATATTCATATAATTTTGGGTTTATATGATCTTCTCAATCTCCTTTCTTTTCCTCTTTAATTGTTTCTCCCTATTTGATTAAATAGTAATTTATGTTATTAATCAATTTATTTGCAATTCTATTTTTTTTTTAATTTTGTTTTCCAAGAAAAATTAGGAGATAATCATTGGTTAAGTAAGTTTTATTTATGTAAATTGACATTCAATTTCATGTTTATGTTGGTTAGAGCCATTTTGGTTGAAATTATAAATAAATACTAATATAATTTGTGTTTCTTTTTTCTTTTAGGAAATGATGTTATGTAAATATTCACCTATTCTTTAATTTTTTGGTTTTTTTAGTTATATTTTAAGTTTGTCATATTATTCTTATTTTTTAAACTATGTTTTAATGATTAATTTAAATAAATTAATAAATACACCAAATTTCTATTTGTATTGTAAAATTTTCATATTATACTTATTTTTCATGATATTAAGTATTATGAATTACTTTATTTAACTGTAAATTAATTGAATTAAATAAAAAATATATATTAATTTCAATAATAATTCGAGAAACTTCATTTTTTATTATTTTTGAGGATTTATTTACCAATATTACCTTCATCGGTAAACTGAACTCTTATTTTGGCAGCAAGGATGTTGTTACCAACATTATCCTTGTCAGTAAGCAGCAGGGAACCAAAATGGCGCCTAAAATTGCCGACTCAATTCTTTTCGGTGATTTCCAATTTCACTCCTCGGTCAATCAGCGACGTAGCTCACCCTTCGAGGCACTACTGAACTTCCAGATGTGATATTCGTCGGTGAATTACCGACGTGGATTAGCAGAACAATCTCAGCCTTCGAGGCGATGCTGTATTGCAGATGTGATCTTTGTCGGTAAATTACCGACATGGAGTTCCAAAAAAGATCTCCGGTGTTACTGTTCCGACCTATTGTTTGAGAGGTGTTCCTTGTCGGTAATGTGTAACTTGTTTACCGACGTGACTTTAATCCACGTCGGTAAACTAATTACCGAGCCCACTTTCACCGACAAAGTTATTTTCGACATGATCCAAGTTAGAAGCTTCTTTTACCGATGTGATTACCTTTTTCTTCGAGATGAGTTCTCATCGGTGAAATAATGAATTTTAGTAGTGTTTTCGTTCTATATTATATAATTTAAACTCATAATTTTTTATTTAAATGTATCTTTATTAAACTCTTAAATAAACCCTAAATGTCAATTTCAATAAATTTTGTCTGCGTAAGATTTTTTATTTACAGCCAGTTTATGTCTGTTAAGTCTTTAACATGCCTAAAACACAAAAATAAATAAATAAATGATCTTGACAATCCGGTCCAATGATATCGACCTCAAGATAGTGAGATTACCTCTGTGAGCAGTTTTAAATATCAGAGATTCCCTTTCCCTAACGCTCATTTATTTGTATGTACTAATTTAATTTCGTTAAAAAAAAAAAAGATAAATAACCAGAAAAATATCTATGCGTTTGTTGTGTATACTCTTCAACACCATATTCATTTATCATATATGCCAAAAGTGGGGCCCTCCCTGATTGTAGGGCATTTGTCTCGTATCAATTCTGTAGGTATATATTTAAATGATATATATAAAATTTTATGTAATTTTAAAATAATTGATTTTAAGGTTATGATATATCATGTATATATATTTTTTATTTTGTTTAAAAAAATATATGTCAAAAAATAAATAAATAAATAAAGAGTAATAATTTAGTTGACGAAAACGCGAGATGAAAACACGAAACGACAAATGATGCAAAAGGGTCAAATTAATAATTGCACCACATACATTAATCTTGCATCACTTGTCGTCCCGCGTTTTCATCCGCTGAATCATTACTCACGTGCAAAAAATCATGAAATTCAATGGTCTTATGCTCGTGTTAGGACTTTTCTTTTAGGTTAATAATATAGGGTTTACTGTTTTATATAATTTTTTTATTTTATTAACACGAAACGACAAATGATGCAAAAGGGTCAAATTAATAATTGCACCACATACATTAATCTTGCATCACTTGTCGTCCCGCGTTTTCATCCGCT